CAACGTGCCAGAGGCAAAAGCCATCTTCCGGCAGGTACGCACAGTGTGTGGCCTGTCGAGAGTGAAGGTTGAGCCCCCACATAGGCGCGGATTCCCGGCGCAGTGCCACCGCTGCCAACTATATGGTCATGCGGCGGCCAACTGCTCCGCCCCACCCAGGTGCGTTAAGTGCCTCGAACCCCACAACACCAAAGAGTGCCCCCGGCCCAAAGACGCCGAATCCCCGCCCGCATGGGCCTGTGCAAACAGACAGGCCACCCGGCTAACTACAGGGGCTGCCCCTGCGCACCTCAACCTCGCCCCAGTAGGCAAGCTCCACCGCCGGTCAATGACCGCTCATTCCAGGTCCTCCACCAACGGCCCCGTCAGGGCCTTTCTCAGCCCATCCAGTTGTTGTCTTGTCAATTGACGTCTTGTGACGTCAATTGACAAGACAACAAACACGACGCGCAACTACTCAGTTCCAAGCTCTGCGGCAAGTGGTCCCAAAACGCCGACGCCGGCGCGGCCGGACGCCGCACCAGCCCGCACCCCCGCGCCTCAGCCGTCAGGCTCGCCTCCCGCTCGACCCGAGCGCCGACGCAGGCCGCCAAACGTTAAATTAGGCCTAAACAAGCCCCCCGTCCCGGACATGAGGATCTAGGTCCGCGAGTAAATTGGCAAGCGGGATAGGGTAGAGACGGCACGTTGCAAAACCGAATCTCCAACCAAAACCTCGGCCACCCTAGCACTTACTTGGCACAAAGCGCTTCTTTCGAAGCTCCCTTCCTATGGGCTTCCCGAGAAATTGTGCGATTGGATCACCAGTTTTCTTGCAGATCGGAGCATCAAGGTCGTTGTAGACGGTGCAAGCTCCGATTGCAAGCTTATTAATGCTGGTGTTCCACAGGGCTGCGTGCTATCGCCAACGCTGTTTCTTCTGCATATCTTGGATTAAACATATATACATTCTGTTTAACGTGACTCAAAATTTATTTTTATTCCTTTTATTTCCTTTGCGTCGTTTTATATATTGAATGCCTATAAAACCCTTTCCTGGGTATCCCAACAATTTTTATAAATATATTTATTTCATAATACTGAACCAAATGAAACTGGTTTTTTATTTACTTTTTTATAAAATAAAGATGACAAGCGAAAGGAAAGTAGTTGCTGCAGCGAATAAACATCTTCTGATGAGGTGTAACACAGGCTCTCCGGTTGTCTAATCTCACCATACGAAACGCAGCATTATTCTGCTATTTTCCACTGCTTTATCACTCTTGCTACCTGCTTGAAATAATTACCTAAAACCGCGACGCGCCCGGGAGAAACAACGCAGTCAGGGCTAGCGCGTTGGAGGCGATTGAATGTTAAAGTTTTTTAACGCTGTTTACGTAAATAGTTTTATGTAAATAGTTGTTGAAATAGTTTTTGTTTAGTGTTTAGTATATTTAATTGTAGGTAAAAATAGTTGTAAAAGTTTTAATGTATTTTAAAAATTATATAATATGTATATAGTGCATTGGGGTAAGATCGGTGATGGGGTAAGACCGTACAATTCAAATTTCCGGTGAATTATGCTATATTTTTGAAAGCTAGCAATATGGTACAAGACTCCATTTTATTCTGCCCCGACCCCAAGTTTTAGCCAGTCGCTCGGAAAAGTAGGGCGTGTGCTGCGCAGTATTTTATAAAACAAGGTAATTTTTGAATTTTTTCGTCTGTCCGGTCTTTCCCTATCACTTTTATTCGCGATTTTTAGCAACGTCCGGTCTTCCCCTTGATGGCCAATTCTTCATCATGCATATAAAAAATTATACCTTGTCTTCGCACACGTTTTAAGCAGAAACTGTTGAGTTTTGAAAAGTAAAAGCTTCTTATAGCTAAATTACGTGTAACCATTAACGATTTGCGCCATGTTTCAGAAATCTGACGTATATGGATGTCGAGAAAATAAAGTTTTTGCCAGACTGTTTTAACTAGTCGAAAATCCGTCCGGTATTGCCCCAACGTATATTACCTATTTGATAAATTATAATAGCAAAACGTCATTTCTACTGTAACTGTTGCTTAGATGGATACTAAATGAAATGAGCAACAAAAGGTTTCATGTAATTCTTTAAGTTACCGAAGAATTTTAGAAGGAAGTTATGAAAGGTGAATTTATTTAATTTTATTGTTTGATAAACAGCAAAAAAGAATTAAGTAATAATTTGGTCTACATAAGAAATAACTAAGTACTTCATTACAAAAATTAGTTAAAATTTACTTTACTATCCAAGTATTTACTTACATACCTATACTTATCTTTTGTAATTAAAATATTTTGAGTAATAATAACACAAAATACTGAAATTAAAACTTTGTATACTAACAAGATTTTTTTTCTAAGTAGTAGCATGTAATCTGTTTAAGTTTATTTGTTGGTTACACTATCTACCTATTTCTCCCAAGCGTTACGATTCCCGACGAATGACCTTGCAATTTGCATGCGTTAGGCATCGCAGAACTCACATATGGGCGAAAGTATGGTTAGTCACATACATACAAAAAAGTTTCTTCCTTTTATGAAGCCGGATAAAATCCTCTTTAAAAACAGTAAAGCTTGAAGTAAATGTTTTAAGCAGAGACTACATATTAGTACGTCCAATCTTCAATAGTTATTTGGCATATGCCATCAGATCGTAAAGGATTAAATTCACCGGACCGTCCACGTCCGAACACACCCATTTCACAAATTAACCTCATCTTCTACACGTAGAATGAAAACAATGGACGTTACAAAACATGATTGTAACATCGTGTCGAGTATGGGTTGATGAGTTATATTAAGTATTTAGTTATTTTATCAAACACAATACAAAAAAAAATTGAAGTAGAAGTAAATATAAATATAATATAAATATTTATATTATATTTATATTCACTTATTTTTATAAAATGTGAGTGACAAAACGAGTGGATTTTGAGGCCTATGGACATCTAAATTTATCTTCGATTAAGATTCAACCAAGATAGAATGCCTCGTTTTCAGTAAAAAAGGGTCTCCGGATCTCTACACTCACCATACAAAACACGGCAGCAACAACGCTGGTATTCTGTGAGAGCGTGGTCTTTCTCCGGTCGAACCGATCCACTCGTGCTACAACCATTATATAGCTGCAGCGTGATTCTACCACATGAAAACTCTATCGCGTGTAAGCAGGAATCAATATTATTCAACCCATCTTAACCTAACAAGAGAAATCATAACAACTTTCTGATATCGCCAATATCTCCGGGGAGCGACCCCGGTACTTCGAGGTACGTAACCCTGTAGTTAGCAATCGCAGACCACATGGTGGTTGGCTACTGCTGTCCGTGGACACCTGCAGCCCAGTTCAAACAAAGCTGACTACAGGTGCGATGTCACCTCTAAGGACTAACACGAACACAGCTTATTTGTTTAAATGAGATCACCCGCCGAGTTTATTAAGAAAGTTCACTTTCATCTGAGTTCCACGATTATCAAGTAAACAACGGCAAAACTAGTCCATGAACAAGTGCATAGATAGGGTTACAACACCGTTTAAATTGAACGCGCAATATACTTCACAAACACTTTTCTAGTTCTAGATCATTTTTCCATCCGATGCGGGGTTGATTTAAAAACAAAAAAGAAAGCCACGCTAATTACTAATACAAATTAAAGAGTTTTGTCTTACTTTTATTTATAAGAGGATAACAGTGAGGTTTTAAATTTAATTGGATTTATTTTTATCTTAATGGATGCTTTCTTTAATTTAGTGCAGCCTTAAATATCTTCTTTGTTGCTTAGCAACCCAGTGCTGTAGACTACTAAGATGGATTTTTCGTGACCAATTTGTGAGAATTAACGCACGCAGCAAGTGACTTACGAATGGAGGGTCGAGTTGTTCATGTTACTTTACCCACGGGACGATATGGGGCAGTGGATATTCTTACATGACTACCTTTGTTACAATATATTCCATTTAATTACTAAGAACTACGAAGCGATAATACTGATACATATATCACGATTATATATTATATAGACACGCAGTAATTCCTAATTCTCACCAGCGCGCCAGGAAACTCCCAGTCCATAATAAAAGCAATTGTAGTTTTTTTTGTAATTAATATTGAGCTGTTTTCAGGAAAATGCTTCTGCCTATTTCCTGTTTCAGCGTCCCTCTGTCGCCTCTTACGACACCTACGGGATTATATGGTTTATTTGATTCTCTTACGGCGCACTTCAGGAAAATTATCCCGTATCAGAAAATTGTAATAAATTATTACCTCTAATCCCTGCGATTTTCGTTGAAAGAATATCCTTTAAATGAGATTTAGAAAGATTTGCAATAATTGCGTAATTAATAGACGCTCCTTACTTAATTTTATTTCATTTCTATAGCTATGAAGGTTTATGTCCAGGAATGAATCCACCACACTACCTCATTGAGTGACGACGGACTTCAATGTAAGTCTCCTTACAATTTTTTTCTTTTCCGTCAAGAATATAATAAATTAGTACCCAAAATTGCAAGTAAAAATTTCAATGGTATTTGGGATAGAACCCTGCTTCACGAAACATAAAATTTAAGGCGAAAGCCTCCCTCCAGAGATACTTATATACGAGACCGATTGAGCCCAGATGATTAGCGCTCGCTGTAGTTTTTACAGTGTGCGAGCAACTCGGGTTCGATCCCCGCCGGCACCAATGAAATTGTTAATTGCAATTTAAAACATCGTGAGGAAACCTGCATGTCTGGAAAATAAGAAAAAAAATATTTCGATGACTGGTGAAGTTCGCCACCACGCATTGGGGCAGCGCAGTGTGTTAGACATTTCCTTGCCCTAAAACCTTTGCGGAAATGAGAGGAGGCATGTGCCCAGCAGTGAGACTTATATAAGCTGTAACTTTATCTTCTTTTAAATAAAATAATCATACGGTCGAATTGAGAACTGCCCCAATTTTTGAGTCGGCTATATAGAAGAGTCGTACTTGAAGAGAACGAATGTCGAAGAAAAAGGTAATTTGCTTATAAAACGAAAATATTAAATGACTTTCTGTACTCTATTGAAACAGTGCAGTGTCGAATGCACGGAATGCATGCTATGTATTTTGATTTTCACATCACTTTGTAGCGAGGGCAAACAGTTACAAACAGTTTAAGCTTTGAGTCAATTTACAGCGAGTTTTTAATTACGATGTCTACTAGCTTTGTGATTTGTTTACTTTAAATGCTGTTTATTAGGTAGGTAGGTGTATATAATTCATCGGTAATATTAAGAGAACTATATAACGTCATATTATGTACACCTTTTTATTATATTCATTATAATCGTCTTAATATTTAGAGCCTATCAAAAGAGTTCTGATGATCATACATCTTTTTGTACCGGACCAATATGTGTGAGGTGCTGGTAGACGAAAGCGTAGACTCCTCTCCTCTCCGCGTACGTGGCGCTCCCCACACGCAGATAACAGTGCCACTTCCAGAGCCGTTAGACTAATAAACTGTTTTCTCAGGGCCAATCCGACGCAGATATATTTTTGACAAACCCAGCGCAACGTATTAAAATGTATTAATATTCTTAAACGACTTTGTAAGATAGAAGAATAGTATATGTTTAGGTAATTAAGTTTAATTTATGATATAGTAAATAGATCTCATTATACTGTTGTGGCTGTCATTTATATTGTGTATGGTAATATTTAATAATTGGTGATTTTTTTTCTTGCGTATTTTATCTTATTTTGTATATATATATATATATATATTTTGATTTGGTTGTATATACTGTAAGCTTATATTTTATCAATAAATGAATATGAATATGAATCATTGGTCTCCCACATAGATTGCTTCATTTGCCATAGTTGCCACGCTTGGCAGGCAGCTTGGCAGCCACATTTTTTAATTATTTTTAAGTTGTTAACAAAAGGATGCTCCTGCTTATCACCTGTTTCATTTCGCTCTGTCGTCTCTCACGACACGCACGTGATGCGGTACGGCAGTAGAAACAAAAAACGCCTCGTTCTTATATTGTGAACGTAGTATACAAATTCAGGTATTGATTTCATATATTTACGCGAATATTAGACATTAAATAAAACTATTTTTCTTACAGATTTCATCTCGTTTAATTTTACTTATTTTTAATTCCAGATGTGTCTTACATCTGTCTATCTATTGTGGAAGGAAGAGTATCTCTGTATCTCTCAACTGTATTTCCCATTCTCGCCAATATATTCATGGACGACTTTGAGGTGAAAGACCTTTTCATCTCACCTGTAAATCCAAGGTTCTACAAGCGGTAGGTAGACGATACTTTCACAACTTTATCTTAAACTCAATTTACTATAATATAATTTCTTTATATTATTAATATAATAAATTCAATTTAAAATAATATAAATATAATATATCGCTCATTTGGAGCGACAGTGACATAACTGCAAAAAAAGGCGAATCTGACATAATTACACCAAAATTATCTCCATAACTATCTACGTTATGGAGTTAAAACACCGCATTTGTTATTTTAAAAAACGCCCGCTATAGGGCAAAAGACGTTGTTGAAATATTACATTTTGTCGCGAGAATACCGGGCGATAACGACCGAACAGTCAGTTGTGCGGGGCGCCTCGCTAAGTGTGCATGTGTCAGAGAGTTACATCGGCGCTAAGGTAAATATGACAAATTATGCTAAACATCGGTGTTACAACGACGCAATTGTATTTTGTGACTATATATCAACTAGAAATGAAAACAGTTTTGTGGATACAATGTCGTATTATACAATTGCGCCGTTGTATCACCAAACATTTTGTATTTTTTAAGACGTAAATATAAATACGCCATTATTGTACTGCCATTATTGAATGCCTTTTTACCAATAACAATTATGATTAATTGTAATAATTTTAGACCAAATTTAATTACGTTAATTTTTTATACATTTTAAGCTATCAAAATGGGAAGTCGAGCACGAATGTTGGTTTTAATAATAATTTTTGTCAAGTTCTAACGTTTTTTTTGCTAAATTACAGAGATATTTTCTGCAGAACAAAACCAAGACGTCAGCAATATTATTTCAAACATTGATACTGCTTGCTCTAGTCAACGTAAGTCAGTTTTTCTACATTACTTACGTTTATTTGCAAAGTTATATTCTTCTGATTGTACACTTTTGTAGTTGTATTCGGATTAACTATTTTATTTAAATTATAGTTTGTTTATTTTAGCATCGATTGTGACAGAAAATTTTATTTCTTCTCTAAATAAGGCGGATCTGTCACCGATCCTCCTGGAAAATCACGAAAACGACAGTGAAGATGAAACTAAAGACTTTTCTCCAGACGATAGTGGTGATGAATATATGTAAGCCAGAGAAATCTGTGCAACGCAACCGTATTAATTCAACGTCATCTAGATCATATTCGAGCTCTTCATCCTCAACTTCATCGTCTAGTTCATCCGGTACTACTTCTAGCTCATCATCAACATCGATTACTCATGATTCTGTCAGAAATTCCAATTTTATAGATACCAGCCAAGATTTAGCGCTACCTTCCGAGACTAGAGTTGCCAAGATGGCACGTGAAACTAAGCGTACGTGCAAAACTTTTTTTAAATACTTTGGGTATATCATAGAGAACATTGCGAACGGTTATTGAAGGTAAAAACAGTTCTGGTACGGGTGTGATCTCTGAGGACAAGCAAACGTGGCAAGCATGCTCATCATAATCAAGTAAACTCAGAAATCATGCAATTCGTTCGCGATCACATTAATTCCGTCCCTAGAATTAAGAGCCACTATACTCGGGCTAACACAACTCGTGAATTTATTGATGGCGGTCTTACCGTTAAAGAGTTGCATTGAAATTACGTTTCTAGTAGAAGAACGATGCCATCGGGAACTTTTGACACGTATTACCGAATTTTCAACACTGAATTTAACTTATCATTTTTTGTACCCAAAAAAGATCAGTGTGATCTCTGCGAGTCTTACAAAAATGCTGACCAAAAGACCAACTCTAATCAAAAGAAGTTTATAAAGAGCATTTAAAACAAAAAGATTTAAGTAGGAAAGAGAAAACTAAGGATATTGAGTTAGTAAAAGAAGATTGTAACAATATCGTTGCAATATACGATTTACAGGCAGTTATGCCTGTACCTATCGGTAATAGTTCAGCGTTTTTTTACAAATCAAAGTTGAATTGCCTAAACTTTACTTGCTTCCTTTGGATTCATACGTATGTAGCTTAAAAAACTAATATTAATTTTTTACAGGTTACAAATTTAAAAGATAGCGTAACAAATTGCTATTTCTGGCACGAGGGTCTTGGCAATAGAGGAGCTATAGAAATTGGTTCTTGTGTGTTCAAATTTCTGAAAGAGACTGCAGAACGTTATGCCAATAGCAATATAATATTTTATTCTGACAACTGCTGTGGTCAACAAAAAAATAGGTACATTTATAGTCATTATTTTCACACAAAAATAGAATTAAAATTAACCATTTTTTCTATTTTTAAGTTATATTTTACTTTTTCAGATTCCTGCTTGGCATGTATTACTATGCGGTTGAATCTCTTCCAATAAATTCAATCACACATAACACCAAGAAAACTGGAAATGCTTTTGTAGTAAACGAGCTTAACTATGACGATTATTATGATTTAAAAAAGCTATTTGAAGATATTACACTAAATGTTAACAAAGATCCGCAAGGTAATCAGATCAACTATCTGAAATAAAATCTATACGATTTGTTAAAAATAGTAAGACTTACGATTTAAAATATTCTTTCGAGTGTGAGCGGATAACTGTCAAATCAAAAACATCTACTAATACTCGAAAAATCCGATAATAATTTACATATACTGAAATACGTTTAAAAGCAGCTTACAATTCAAAACTTACGATTTCTGATCAAAAAAAGGCAGGATTTGCGTACTTTGTTAGAAAAAAACATTGTTCCCAGATGCTACTCTGGATTTTACGGGTTTGTTTTAAGTTACCTGAGTAGGTAAATTTTTTTTATTCTTTTTATGTTAAGTTTTAATTTTTTATGTAAGTAGCATGACTAATGAAACGAACGTAAGACTGAAATGTTTAAAAATAGTTCTAACATTCTATTGATCTTTTAAGACTGACTTTTAAGAATAACTTTTAAATGTGCAGGGTTTTAGATTTTAAGAATATTGTTATAAACAGCAGATTTTTCTGTGCCATATTAGATAGCAGTTATTAAGAGGGTTAAAAAACTAATTTTATATACCTACTATATTATTTAATTTCGTATTGAATAGTTTCTATTAAAGTGTAATTAAGATGAAGGTCATCTACAAATGATTCATACTATGAGGCATAACTATGTCACCACTGACTGTCGTTGTTAATTTTTATTGAAATAGTACAAAATGTGTTGATTGAACGATATTGGTTTTATTTTATAAAAGACAACAAAGGTCATAACTACCCGAGCTTTTCCTACGGTAACAACGACGCAACTGTAAGTGTTAAAATGTTTTTTTTTATTTATTTCTCATTATTTAGGATAAGAATATAAAAAATAAATGTGTCTGTTTTCAAGCCCAGAGTTCAAACTACAATAATAAAATGGATAAAGAGTCTGTAACTGTAAGAACAGTAAATAATCTTTAATGGTGTTACGAAAATATCTTAAAACTTGTGTAGTGTGTAAATTTTACAAATTTGCAGTTATTTCACTATCGCTCCAAATGAGCGATATAGCAAATAATTCCTTAGATGTGTTAGTCATCCGAAATCCTAACAACACCATGGGACACACCGTGTATAAAAAAATTATGGTCATGTATGCCGTGCTATGGGAACAGAGAGTCAGTATAATTACAGCACACAATGAAACATAGGCATTCCATCTCGCCCTCAGAGCCGACAGTGCACCTGTTGCCTTCTCTGTTTAAAGTTCGCTACATGTGTCCACTGATGACAGAAGCCTGTGCGTGTGTGTTAAGAGTAGGAAAGATGATTCACGTGTCATGATCATGACCGTCCCCTGAAAATTGATGTATGTCGAGATTAAAGTTATCTGTGATTCATATTATTATCCCGCGCGCATAGTTTGTTATAATTGCTGAATATTTTTAACATTGTTGCTTTATTTAGTTTAGCTGTAGTAGCGCTCGCCGCAAGTGAATTAGTTGCCTTTGGGTACAATCCGATTTGAAGCCTCGGAATTACTTGCTTAGTGCATTCACCGCTGTTTATGTATAAAATTTAAGAAAGCTAGTATAATTACAGGCTGTTCCCGGAGATGAAAACAAGGCTTTAGCATTCCTTAACTGCAGTTGGTTGCAGGTATAAGCAACCTACTATCACTTAGACTTTTATAATAAAATTGAGGTTGATTATCATTTGAGGTTAGGTGTGTGCTTGATGATTAAAAATAAAACAACAATTCGTACATATATATAATTATTTTACTTGAGACTTATACATTTAGTATATATAGGCAGAGAATATGTTACATTCATTAGATAAGGGTATGAGCAAATCACAATAAAACATCGAAAAATACATTCACTATTAATATATCCTTTAAAAAGTAACAAGGGGTTAGTCACAACACAATTAGCACAATCTACCTTGACGGACGTTTTACAATATTATATTTGAATAAAACATTTCCTCGTATCAATACAAACATCAATTTTATACTTAAGACTAATTAGTATAGGACTTCCTAACTCTTAGATTAACAACATACATATTACATATGTACTCATAGATAAAACCTATAATTGTTCATAATTAGAGTCAATGTATTTCTCTTGCTTTTTTATTTGATATTCATATGAGGCAAAAATAGAAACCTATTGAAATATGTTGCGTGTAGTTTAATGATGATCTCTAACTCCGTCAGAAGAAAACAACTATTACAATAGATTCGCTCAAATAACAAACAAATAATCATGTTTTTTGATTGAGCGAATCACGTGACATATGTGTATTAATCATCATCATCCACATTACAGTCCTTCACTATTCCGCTGCTGAACATATGCCTCCCCAAAAGAATGCCACAAAGCACGGTTCTGAGCGACCTGCATTCATCGACTTACTGCATGTCTTACCAGGTCGACACTCCATCTAGTGAGGGGACGCCCTCGTGTACGAAGCTGTCACTCGAGAAACTTTCTTCCCCATACTTTGTCAGCGCTTCGAGCTGTATGGTCGGCCCATTTCCACCTTTGATTACTTATACTTGGGGCTATGTCGGCTAAGAAATATTATTATATTAATGGGTAAAACAAAGTGAGGTACAATATTGGTAATAATATATATCTGTTCACAGTTACGGTATTATCAAATCAAATCAAATCATTTATTTCGTTAAAACATGGGTATAGACGGATGGATACAGAGTCAATATTTATTTCTGCGGTCTTAAGCGTATACAGAGCTAATATAGCCACAAGTTGTGAGGCCATTTTATTTGTCGGAGTGACAACGCATGTGCAGATTTCCGTGTTTAAGTTGAAGTGTTATTTACAAAATAATTGTTAGATGTCGCCATATTTCTACCCAGATGGATTTCGAAATGTCACATATCGAAAATGACTGTAAAAATTACATTCTTTGAACGTGTATCGTAATTTCGGACTCATTTACTACGTTTACAAGCTACAGAATTGACTATGGCTAATAAAAATTGACTAACAGTGGGAAAATTAATTTCTTAGATAAACACACAATTTACTACATTATAAGCATTTACTAATTTATAGAGGATATACCTAAATTTAATACACTTATTATAAGTTTTATCAATAAATACCTCCATAACACACACATCAAATTGTTAAGCTACTAAATATTTACATCTGCTACCTCAAACACGGTTGTACAAACCGTGTTTGATGAGAATCATCTTATTTCTAAGCAAATATCTATCTCTATTATAGTAATTCAAAATGAGTAAGAAAAAAACTAACTAAAACTTTTTCAAAAAACTTTACCTTAATAAGCAAAATTTTACATAAAATAATTTCAATTAATTACAACTTATAAGTTTAATTCTTTTATTTCTTTATGGTCTAATGTAGTTTTGCAACTTTTTGGGTATAACAATTTTATAAAAATATTTTTACTTGTTTTTATTATATATATATATATATATATATATATATATATATATATATATATATATATATATATATATATATATATATATATACATTTAATGTGAGTTAAAGTGATAAACTATAATAATAGTTCAAATTCAAATGAAGGGTAAATAATGATCCAAATTTGACTTGAATAAAACAATATGCTACTTCTACCTAAACATATTTTAAGTTACTTATAAAGAGAAAAAGTTTTAATCTAATTTATTTAACTTAGGCTGTACTACAATATATACATTACTACAGCTTTAAATTCGATCTGGCTTGAGACTTTTCATTTACAACTTATTTGATACTTAACAACTTACGAGTTATAAATAATAAATATTTCTTATATATATTACTTATCGTCTTGGCTATAAACATGTGTGTATAACATCGACTAATTCAAACTTCATTTTGATTATTGGATAAATAAAATTCAGAAAAAAACCCGCAACATATTGATAATAATTAGTAATTACTAATTAATATTTTAAGTATTTATTTATAATTTAACAATTAATGGCAATTATATATTTATTTATAATATATAATTGCCATTATTTGTTAATAAAGTATGTTGTAATAGTGGAGACGAACTGTCCACTATTAACAGACTCCGAGTGGTTTTCTTCAAGGTGGAGAAATGAAACTACTGTTTATGTTTATGAATGTACTGTCGAATGGGATTCGGAATGGAATATCTTTTGCATCAACCTTGCCTATATTTATATGGCTGGCTCACTATTGATTTGCCAATGGTAACAATTAATATTTTGCCTAGCCAATTATATTGCTTATTTTATGACCAATGAAAACTATTTAAAATATACAATTATCTAGGTTTCGTTTCCCGGCGTGAGACTTGTTTGTTGTTCACGAAGCTACGTCGCTGGACCGGGCTATATAAGACATGCAGATCGGTGCGCACGCGTAGTCGGCGGGCGGCGGCGGTGTGGAATACGGCTCCGGAACAGCAAGAGGAAACGAACTGCGGCGTTGAAGAAACGGCTCACCATTGGTCGACGGATACGTGACGATAGCGGTGTGTGAAGTCGGTGTGGCGCTGAATGATATTTGCGGCTGCTTCTTGTTTCTTTATAAGAACGTCAAATTATCTATATACAGTCCGCAGTATCTCAGTAGCCAAGAATAATTAGGAAATAAAATGTTTTTTTATTTATTCTCGCCTTCCGCGTTATGGTAGCAGCGGAGTATATATTATTTATTCCCGTTTAGGTTTGATTAATCTGGCTGCTACATCACTCTCCCCCCAGCGAAAGCGTACCGGAGGCTTGACGACTCGCCCGTATTTCGTAGTTTTTAAAATAGGTTTCAACTGGGTTGATGTAGATGATGAAGTTTCAAGCTTCCTCGCTGGTGGTTTTGATGATGATGATGAATCCTCTGCAGTATCCTCGTTAATAATATAGGCAGGCTTTAGTCGGTCGATCGATATAATCGTAGATTTCCTTCCGGGTATTTGTAGTTTAAAAGTCTTGCTATTTCTCTCTAATACTTTATACGGTCCATCGTAGGTAGGTTGAAATTGTTTTTTCATTGCGTCGTTTCTTACAAAAACTTGCTTGCATGTTTTCAAA